AGGCCTTGCTTGCCAACTTCGCGAGCGGTTTGAGCGTCCTCATCGGAGCCATCATCGTCTCTGCAACGCCAATCGACGATTCTGTCATCGGCCTCATCCTTGCATTCGGCGGAGGGGTGTACCTGCATGTCGGCGCGACCGACTGCTTGCCAAAGATGTACGACCCCAAGCTGCGCTTCGTCGAGCGACTCGCTGCAATGCTGGCCTTCGTCGTTGGAACAGTCCTCATTGGACTAATTCTGATCGGCCACGAGCACTGCTACGCTCCTGCGTCTGAGGGTGAGGGAGGCCACGGTCACAGCCATGGGCACAGCCACTAATTCAACCACATGTTGTGCAGTTTTTCTCTGCGCCATCCATGGGAGAGCGGCAGATCTTTTAAGCAAGTGCAACAACTTGCGCACAGCCACCATTTTGCTTGGCGAGAACTGCGGCAACCTACTTGCTGCAGCTGCTTGCCTCTTTGCCCGCCAAGTGCCAGGGCTCCCCAGAGAGGTGTGTCTTTCCCACTTTGCATGTGCTCCGCAGGTCCTCCAATGCAGGACACCTTCTGGGGTTCATCCACTGTTTTTGTTCCAACCTATACCGGAACATGCTTCCTGCGTGAATCTGCAGATCGCCCAGAGGTGAAGTAAACAGCTGTGACGAGGGGGGTGCCTTTTCATTGATTGCTGTGTGGTCAACATCTCTGACAGGATCTTCTGCTTTCGTTTTCTCGCGGGCAGGTTTTTGTGGGCACTTCTCCGGTCAACACCTGCTTCGAGCTTACATGGCCCTCGTGACAGAAGACTCCAGTCAAGAAGCTGCATTTTGGTAGGGTCTGGCGAGTCAAGTTTCCAATGATGTACCCGTGCAATGGCGAATTTCTGCAGTATCTTGACTTGGTATTTATACCAAAAACTAGGTAGCTAGCACCCACTCATAGATTTTGCCACGGCTCATGTCATGGTGTTGGCGATCATGGTGGCAATTCTAGGACTCTAGGAGTTACGGTGGTGTCCGAAGCACCGGTCGTCAACAGTCGTCGTCGCTCGCCAAGTCTGGTGGAGGAATGCGCGCTGACTTTGGAGCGGCTGGGGTCCGCGAGTGCCCGGCGATCTCATCGGCGAGGCGGGATTTCCCAAAGTTAGCAGCCACCGAGTTGGCAGCCGGGTTCGGTCAGCATCTTTGGCTGCTTGATACAGCTTCATGCAAAGCCGTTGCTGCAGCCGTGGATCCTGGAGCACCAGAGAGGATTCCTTCCTTCAGATTTGTAAGTGCTAGGACTGCCAGGATGAAGCAATGGGCAGCGGCGATCCTCGCGCTGACGGGCTTCCGCAACTTTCGCTTCGCATTGGCTCAAACAGACGACCACGGGCATGACCACGGGCATGACCATGACCACGGAGCTGGGGCTTTCGAGTGGGCGGGCATCTTCGACACTCCAAACAGCAACTACCTCTGGACGGCGCAGAAAACAGACGGCGGCTACGCCGATCCGACCCTGAAGATGGTGGCTTTGCCGACCGCGACGGTCAGCAAGCAGGCGCTGAGCGACTTGGAAGCCCAAGGAGAGACAGCCATGGAGGCCACGGATTCGACTTGTACAAGGGTGCAGTCAGGAGGCACCATCACCCCTGCAAGCACTTGCTACATATTGGAGTTCCAGTCGAGTGCTTGGCAGTCCCTTTTCAACATCGACGCGAGCGCTACGGCTGGCATCGCCTTCTTTACAAATCATGGGCCCACCGAGTTCGAAGCTGATGCCCACTACCTCAAAGACAGCATTGGCGAGGATATTGAGCCGGTAGCCGAGCTGCCGGAAGTGACTGTGACCGCGGCACCGGAGACGCCTTTTGATTGGGGCCTTATCCTCGCGGCAGTTCTGGTGAACGTGGTTACTTTCATTGGGGTGGTTCTCTTATTCTCGCCCCTGAGGAGATTAGCCGAGAAGCCTGTCTGCAATGCCATGCTCTTCGCTTTCGCAGCGGGCGCTTTGCTCGCCTGTGCATTTTTCCTGCTCCTCTTCGAGGCAACCCACCTCATTGGCACGGGTTGGACGTCCGAGGTCGACATCGTCTGGCGTTGGGGTGCTATGATCCTGGCGGGCATGATCGTCCCGCCTGTGGTGGAGACTGCCTGCAGTGTGGTGGTTTCCGCGCGTGGATCTTCCTCCCAAACCACGGTTGCAGAGGCTAAGGAGGAGGCTGAAGGGACCCTGAATGAAGAGCAGAAGTTCAGGGCCAAAGCTCGGTTGCTAGGTGCAGTTCTGATTGGAGACTTCTTCCACAACCTTTGTGACGGCTTCTTCATTGGCGCGCCTTCCAGGTCTGTGGAAATGCATTCGGCTGGAGTGTAGCCACTGGCACGATCCTCCACGAGCTGCCTCAAGAAATTGCAGACTTCGTAGTCTTGACCGGGCCAGGCGTTTCCTTGTCGCCGCTGAAGGCCTTGCTTGCCAACTTCGCGAGCGGTTTGAGCGTCCTCATCGGAGCCATCATCGTCTCTGCAACGCCAATCGACGATTCTGTCATCGGCCTCATCCTTGCATTCGGCGGAGGGGTGTACCTGCATGTCGGCGCGACCGACTGCTTGCCAAAGATGTACGACCCCAAGCTGCGCTTCGTCGAGCGACTCGCTGCAATGCTGGCCTTCGTCGTTGGAACAGTCCTCATTGGACTAATTCTGATCGGCCACGAGCACTGCTACGCTCCTGCGTCTGAGGGTGAGGGAGGCCACGGTCACAGCCATGGGCACAGCCACTAATTCAACCACATGTTGTGCAGTTTTTCTCTGCGCCATCCATGGGAGAGCGGCAGATCTTTTAAGCAAGTGCAACAACTTGCGCACAGCCACCATTTTGCTTGGCGAGAACTGCGGCAACCTACTTGCTGCAGCTGCTTGCCTCTTTGCCCGCCAAGTGCCAGGGCTCCCCAGAGAGGTGTGTCTTTCCCACTTTGCATGTGCTCCGCAGGTCCTCCAATGCAGGACACCTTGTGGGGTTCATCCACTGTTTTTGTTCCAACCTATACCGGAACATGCTTCCTGCGTGAATCTGCAGATCGCCCAGAGGTGAAGTAAACAGCTGTGACGAGGGGGGTGGCAGCAAGCGTGGTGCTTTTTCATTGATGGCTCTCCTTCCTGTTGCTTTCCTAAGGCTGATTCCGGTGTGAAGTCGCTCAATGATATCGCGACGACGTGGAAGCAAGAGAGACCCAGAGAGAATGGGGGGTTTCTGATGCGTCGAGGCATCTACGCTGCATGCTGTACATAGTCCCAAGTCGTGTCTTGAGCAACACATCTATTGCACTCGCCCCCGAATCTCCTGTGATGCGGTGAGGAAGACTTGTTTGCTAGCCTTGCTCCGGCCGCTGATCTGTCCGAGGAAAAGAGCCTGCTGGGCTCTGCGTGGGCTCAGCGCGTGCTGGGCGCCGGCCTCGGAAAGTGGAACCTGCCTTAGAACACCTTGCTCACGAAGGGTATCCTCACAGAACTCAGGGAAAGGACCCGACGTTTACGCGCATGGTGGAAATCAGAGCTTAGGGTTGCATGTGGATGTGGAAGATTCCAGCATCGGTTTTTCCATCATGTGTTGGTCGTGTCATCTTGAGCTGTCAGGAAGCACAGGCTGATTTGTTAGAATGCCCGCATCCATGCTGAGGCGAAAGGATGCGGCAAACCCGCCCTTGCTTGAAAGAGCCTGTCCGCGGCATCGGAGGCCATGTGGCTCATGGCGATGTGAGCCTATGTGCGAACGCAGGGCCGAGCATGATTTCATGTTTGGGTGTGCAGAGCTGTAGGATTCTATTGTTTGTTCTCTCCTCGAGATTCGAGTTTCGGAAGAGGGATGGCGGTACAGAGCTTTCACATGTCCCATCCAAGAAACGAGAAAGCAGCCCAAAAGCACTGCTTGCACAGGTGGCTGCGCAGGGTCTTACTGCCCAAGGCTGAGCGTGGTCTTGTGAGCCGCGGGATTTTGCAACAAGGACTGCCTGTGTGGTGTTGGATTTTGATTTTTGTCCGTGTATCGGGACAAGTTCTGATGCATTTGCATGGGAAAGAGGGAGTGGTGCTTACTACCCTGACCGCGTTGCACGGATGCCACAGGTTTGGCTTTGATCAGCAGTGTGCACTTCTGCAGGCAAGGTCGTCTATTTAGGGTTTCCGGTTTGCATACTAGTTTTACTCCAGGTGCCTACATGCATGATCTTCCAAAGTGTCACTCCTGCGTCACGTTGAATGAGAATTCGCATGCCAAGTTTACGGCAACGTGGAATGTTAAGGTGTTTAGGGAGGCGCAGACAGGTCGTGAAGATTCACAGGGAAAGACTGTGCGAGCGTGACTTTTGAGATGAAAGACATGCTTTGAAGACTCTTCCGTTTGCCCCAATGCCGCAGAAGATCCTGTGGAGTCGGATGACCTACTGGAAGACCCGAAAGGTGCCACTCAGTCAACGTCTTGGACATGGACTGCATAGCAAGGGGAGACTGACAGCCCGGAAGCCAGACCCACTGCAAGAGCCGAGGACAAAATGTCGAGACGTCGGGCCAAAGTTGCCCCACTTTGTGAGCTTGACTCGTTTTGCGCCGCTTGCTTCTGCTAGCAACCCATACCGTAAAGAATTGTGAAACACTACACGCCACAATTGAGGCACTTGTCTCAGTGCAGACCGCTGAGTTTCATGATTCCAGTTTTTCGGTCATGATTTGTGTTTTGGATGCTTCGGCCATGGCGTCAGAGCGACGATCACCCGCAGCAGTGCACAGCAAATCACAGGATTCCAAGCAGTAAGCTCCAAGTCACAACTAAGTTTTAGTGTCGGGATTAGCAGACTAGTCTTTGGGTTTTGTGCTTTCGGGCTCAAAGATCTGCGTAGTGGCAAAGCCCTTCGCTTCTCGGGGCTTGACACACTCCAAAACCCACCAAGCATGCAACACCGAGAGAAACTCATGAGGCGTAAGCACGTCTTAAGCATCGTTCCATATCGTTCCCACACCCTGGGAACATCCCAAATCAAGTGATGGCTCGTGGCCGGCACCTTTGCGCCGCCGTGCTTCTGCTGGGCGCTTTGGGGGGAGGCCTCGAGCCCGCGTGAAACTGAAAGCTTGAGGTTCTGCTTCGTCTGGGTCGCATTGAAGGTCCCGAATCCGAAGCTCTTCGCATTGCGATCTTGCGGCTTTGCATAGCCGTTCTGGGTATGGGGTTTGGGGACGACTTGGTGCAGAGGAAGGTTCGCGAACCCCCACACCGCCTACTGCCAGACCTTTCTTGTGTCTGCAGCAGCTTGAGCAGAAGGGCATGGGTTCGAAGTGTGTACAGACATCGAATGCTTAGGACTGACTACCTCGATCAGGAGCTCGGTTAAAGCTGCTGAAGATCTATTTCACCGTGCTCGAACCACCTGACCCTGCAAGTCGGGGTTACAGCATAGTGGCAACTCGATGGCCCAGTTGTTGCCATGAAGACAAATTCAATTTCTTGTTGAAGGGATGTATGACGAGAGCATAGCGGAACAGAGGCACACAGGCGGGCACGTTCTGTGTGATAATCTCGTGAGACATACTCGTGGCTCCGTTTCTGCTGACCTTAATTAGAGTCCCGAGGCATCTCAGCCCTGAGCCCTTCTCCATCAACCACTGAACTCTCTCTCTGAGATCCCTTTCTCCCAGCATGCTGTTCTCGAACAGTCCATGAGCTATCTTCATTTGCAGTTGCTGCTTATTGAGCTTCCGGGTGAACCCCAACATCCGATCCTTAGGCCCCAGACATACAAAGTCTTGGGGCGAGAGACATGGCCTGGCCTTTTGTTGGAAAGGTGAAAGTTGCAACCACATCCTCCCTGCAGCTTCCGCCCAGGCCCTTTGCTGGGACTTCTCGGGCTTCAGGGTCTTGTTTCTGGTCATTCGGGAACAAACCCGCCCAGGATTTGAGCCTGCGCGTTGGGCGATCAGTTCGGGACGTGGGGGTCAGGATTTCGGCTTGGTTCCAAGGTTTTGAGCATTTCGGGGATTTGGAAAGTGGGGCAGGGGGTTCAGGGTTTGGATCGAGATCGGGGTTTACAGGGCCTGGAACCAAAGCAAAAACCCTAATAAGGCCAGGTAAGACCCTAAACCCTAAACCCCTAAACCCTAAACCGTGTATAGCTTTCGAGTTGACCAAGACCCTAAACCGCTTAGTCTGGGGATTTGGGCCTTCGTTGGCTGCAGCTTTGCCTCTTAGGTTTCTTCGGGCCCGGGCTTGGGGCTTGGGGCCTCTTTGGTTTGGGCCCCACTCTCTGGAAGATCAGTTCGAGTCCGAAAGGCTGCAACTTGTTGCGCAAACCCCGACCTTAAAAGCCTAAATTCAGGTGAACTACAACACCATCATCGGACGCTTGGACCTTGTCGCATGAACATCTATCTTCAGCGCGGGGAATGTTGACGGTCCGGTGGAGTGAAGTATTTTACGATTTACAGTTTGGTGGACACCATGCACGTGCCTACATCCCAAGAGCCACGCAACAGGTTGACCCTGAACCCTAAATCCCACCGACCCGAAAATCGCTGATCCCTGAACTCAGGCTGCTTGCAAGACCGGCAGCAGGCGACGCTCGCGTCGGGTACTTTCCTCTTGCCACACGGTATCCAGCTGCCAGCGCGGCTTGCCTCAAACTACCCTCTAAGCCTTCATTCCGTGAGCCCGAAGCCTAACATTCCTCGAAATTTGAGGCCTGTGGGCTTCGGCCTCTTAACACTTCGAGCTTCGGGGCGGCCGGTCACGGCTTGTGAACTCCCATGCCCGGAGTTGCCAACCCTGCAGAGACGCTAGCAATCATGGGTTCAGAGTTTGAAGGCTGGGTTCGGCAATCTTGGGTTTACGAATTAGGGCCTACGGCCAAGTGTTCCAGGAACACAAGCCTTTTTGGCGCACCGCCCAATGCGACGGTTCCGCAGCTGACGACACGGCTGGTGCTGGCCGTGCCGACCGCCATCACCCACTACATCCTGCGATTAGGCGGTTGTGACGGTGTGTTTTTGTGATCCTTGAGATTGTATTTTTGTGTTGGGTATTCTGGATGTCACAGTTGTTCTGAGAAATGCATCCATACCCGTTCAACGCTGCATCGCAAGAAGCATTGTCCATAAGAGTCCTCCAGAGTTGAGGTTCAGCTTGGACTTAGAGTGGTCAGGGCTGAAGATATATCTTCGAAAGTTGGCACATATCGGCTCGGGATCAGGGTATAGAAAACTCAGCACGCGAGCCTGAGCCACAAAAAGCACATCCCTGAACAGTTCTTCCTCAGGGTTCTTCATTGTAATTATGCGATAATGTATGTACCCCAAAACCCTAGTCTAACTCACATCTAATTCTTCCACGGTTTTCATGTCCCAACCCCAACAGCGAAAGCCCGAGAATGTAGAGTCCTGTCGCAGCAGAGCATTGGGACATTGAAGCCGCAAAGGTCAAATGGCGGAGCCTAAACGACGCCTTCCGTGATTGGTACTATCTAACTCTCTTTCCGTTAAGTTTGAGGTGTTGTCAGAACCCCGACCGAATCTTGCATCGTAAAGCCTTCGCCACGCAGCCACAAAATCCGAACCTTGAACTCTTCGATCTCTTGTGGTAGGTGGCAGGCAGATTCGTGCTCGATAAGAGGTACAGTGCTTAGCCGGCTCCCAACCGCTAGACCCCAAACCCTAAGTACTGAACCCTGGTCGCTTCAGAAAACAGCAGGCTCGCACTCCGAAGTCAGCTGGCTCTCCGTGGATGCCCAGGAGAATTTGCTGGGTGACGGCTGCTGCAAGTGCCTGGGCTTCCAGCTTTAAGACAAATCTCAGACGTGTTTTGAAGTTGCGGGGGCTTTAGAGGGGTTGATTGATTGGGGTTTCATCAGGTGTTTTGCAAGGCAGAGGCTTTAGGTCGTGAGAGTTTGAACTGCAGGGGCCGTTGCTTTAGGGCTTTTGGTTTAGGCTGATTTCGCCAGCGATTCAAGGACGACAGGGCTACAGACGTTCCTCACTAACGGCATAATTACTAGAGTAGCTGCTGGAATGAAGAGGATTGTGCAAACACCGCGTGCAATGCATGTTTCGGCGACAATGAGTGGGGGGACTAACGATGAAAGTTCAGACGAGTACTCCTACGAAGACAGCTTCGAACAAGGCCTTCTTCTTGTAATTAGTGTCAGTAGTAGCAGAAGTGGTCGTAGTAGTAGTAGTAGTAGTAGCAGTAGTAGTAGTAGTAGTAGTAGTAGTAGTAGTAGTAGTAGTAGTAGTAGTGGTGGTAGTAAGTAGTAGTAGTAGTAGTAGTAGTAGTAGTAGTAGTAGTAGTAGTAGTAGTAGTAGTAGTAGTAGTAGTAGTAGTAGTAGTAGTAGTAGTAGTAGTAGTAGTAGTAGTAGTAGTAGTAGTAGTAGTCCTGATCCAGTACAAACCCTTTGTTAACAGCTGGCGCGCGGCCAGGGCAGCAATGATACTTGAGATACAGGCCATGGTACAGTCCTTTGACACACCCCAGCGGTACCTCGCGACTGAGGAGATCATCATCCATATCGAGCATCGCCATCATGTCGTGGTGCAGATGATTCTCAACCCTCTCGGCCCTTTCGGGTACGCTGATGCAGCCGACAGGGATGACGAAGTTCACTGGGCCCATTCCGCCTACAACTACGGCTATCTCCCCTGAGATTCGCTTGCAGCCGATGGCTAAAGACATGTATCTCATGCTAGGAATATGGCACAGCCTCCCTTCAAGCGTGGCACAGCCACTCGTCTCGTCTTTGCACCAACAGAGCAAGGCTACCCGCCTGCCAGGAGAAAACTTGATGTACCTAACTGCCAAGCCTGTTGGCCGGTCACAGCTGCATTGGTTGCCACAAATCAGTATACTCTGCATCCTGAGGTCCATGGCGACACGTCACGGCACTTGGCATCGCTCGCTCGAGTGCCCTCTGCTGCTGTTTGTTCAGACAGGCAGTGAAGCCCCTTGCTTGACAGCTAGCCATGTGTCATCGGCAACGCTGTATTTGCACACTGCAGCTGTCAGAAGCAACTGCTTACACCCGTCGGCATCAACACTTCTTTGACTTCCTGTCTAAGTTCATTTCTTCTTCAGACATGACAGTTTGCAGATGGAGCAAGAAGTGTTCCTGAACAGTATCGGAAACTTAAGCAGAGAGCACAGCTCACCCTGGCCGCGTGTCACAGACTCTGGCCCAGCGGCTCTCCGGCTGCGACCATGGACACCCCTCCTAGCTTGGGGCCATTCCTGGTGCTTAGCGACAGCACCTTGCAGCACATGCTACGGGGACATACATATGGAGTATTCCCCCTGCTGACGGGACAGGTCTTAAGTTGTCCGGGCGCCGCCCTCAACATCTCGGCTAGCAGCGTCCCCTCCATCCTGGAACTACTTCACTGGCAATTTGGGCTCTTTGGACCGCTCCGTTTCTCTGCAGCGGTCCAGAGTCAAGCGGTGGCCTCCATTTTGGAGCATCATCTCAATGGGCAAATCAATGTACGCTTCATTCCTTTGTCTCGAAGCTTACGCCCTGAGAAGCAAATCAATTATGATTACCTGATAGACGGTAGAGTCCAGTACGGCTTTGCGGACAAAAACCTGCAGCATCAGGAAATCATGGATTTGGCACTTCTACCTGGAGTAGGTGGCGTGGAACAACTCTACAACACCAGAAACCTCCATTTCAGACCGGAGGTGGCGGATATCGTTATCCCAGCGCTCGTCACCAGAGCCATCGAGGAAATGCGCAACAGGCCAGGCCTGCCCATCCTCGTGATTGCAGGATGGAATGCCCGCCAGCAAGACATGCGTGTAGAAATGCTGGCAGCCCAGGCACTGTCCCAGTGCCGCACTGTGCGCGACCTCTCTGAAGTGGCCATGCAATACGGACATGGGCCCTGGGGCATGCGCTTTTTGCATCTCCCGGAGCTGGCGGCTACTCCTGTCCCGCCGATTTTATTTCAGACCTATGTTCACGACGAAAAGCCTGAGCCTGCGCAAGTTGCGGCCAAGATGTTCGCGGGCTTTACCCGCGAATTTTGTGATGACGGAGTTCTCCGGGCCACCCCGGTACAACTTGCAGGGAAATACGGCTCCAATTTGCTGGGCCGCCTCAATCAGCCAGCTCATCGGGCTGACGTCTTCCGCTACGTTTACCACTATCAGCGCGGAGGCCTATATGTGGATATCAAATGTGGCTTTGTGGTACCTTGGGAGCAGGTACTGCAACTCATGGCAGCGGATTGGAGCACAGCTCACTCACACAGGGCAGGTGAAGTGGGTCACAGACCCTCCCCACCTGGCCAACTCCCACAGGAGTTCATGGTCATGGCCATAGGAGTCAAAGCTGACCATATTTTTCAGGGCATCATCTATGGCAAGCCCCGCCGTCCTCTGATGAGGGAGGCCATACAGCACGCTTTCAGCCGTCAAATTCTGACGGCAAAGGCCAACCTGGACTATATGACCTTCTGCAAGTTTCTCTGGCAGATCTTGGGCCGGGATCTTGGCCACTCCCCCCAACCTGGCTGGAACGTCTCTGCCAAGTTTGGCCCGGTATACTTGCTGAAGGAGTGCTGGGATAGGAGCGTGAAGAACAAAACCTATGACAATGACGGCCACTTCTTCGTGTCCGCCAACAACACCACGGTCGCCTACACCAGATGCTGGAAATGGCAGAAGGGATTCCAGGGAGATCCCACCACAAAGGAGCGAACGAATCGCATGCTGCAAAGCCAAGTTCCAGACATTTCTCTGGAAATCCAGGTTGACGCTAGGCCTATAGAGCACAGCTCATCCCAGCCGCCTAGGTCACAGACCACGGCTAAGGCCACTGCGGCTCCTCCTCCTCCTCCTCCTCCTCCTCCCACACAGGAGGAGATCGAAACGTACGTGGCAGACAGCATCCAGAACAACTCCTTTGCGGAGATTATGGCCACTGTCCGCGATACCCACTACTACAATCAAGACCTCACGGAGCAGGATGTGCTGGAACTCATCCCTCGCGGACTAGGCCAAATGGAAGTCTCAGGATCAATGTGGTTATGTTGCCTCCATTGTCGTAAGCATAACCGCAATGTTCAGTTCAGCACTGGCCATGGCATCAAGAACCACTTTGTCACGCAGAAGCATGACCCTGTGCTGCAGCCTGCTGCACAAGGAGTCCGGGCAGCCACTGCCCCTGCGCCTTACCCTCCTCCGCCTCCAAAGCCAATGCCACCGCAGGAGATCCCGATCCCTCCCAGCCGCACCCGCACCAAAGCGACTGACAAAGCCGCCGGCTTTGAGCCTCCGCCCTCCCCTCCCTGTCCCTTTACCTCCACTGCGGCAGAGAAAGCGGCTTTCAAGGAGAGCCAGGCGAAAGCACTAGAGGTGGCCCCCGCCCTTCCGGCTAAGGCTCCACCAGCCTCGGTGTCTCTCACGAACCCACAGCCCCCCGCCAGCTCCTGTTCACCCGCGGCGCCGGCTCCCCCTACAATCCCGGCCTCTCCGGCTCCCCCTCATCCCCCCAAGGCGGTCTCTCCTCCTCAAGCACAGGCAGCACAGGCTCCAGCCTCACAGCGTAATCTCACGCCTCCTCCACCCTCCTCCCGCCCCCCGTCAGCCTACGAGCCCCCGGAGAAGAATGCTGAACCAGTTGGCTATGTTCCACAACCGGCTCCTCAAACGGTTGTCCGATACACCAGGCTAGAGCTCGCTCAAATGTTGAGTTCCCAATCTCACCAGGACTGGATTCGAGCACTGGCTTCCATCAACATTCTGGTGGCTCCAGTCATACTTGGAGGTCTCACCAACCAGGAGCAGCAGAACCTCTGGTCCACACGGGTGGAGGCTCTCAGCCAGGTGCCTCCGCTTTTCTCAGCCATCAAGTTGGTAAAGACTCAGTCTGGCCTCACTTGGGATACCGCCATGTCTGTGAGGAGAGTCCTTACCAGCGACGGACGAGTCACCATTGCCACAGGCTCTGGAGAAGCCTACCAGGAGCTGGATGCCCCCACAAAGGTGCATGGCCTGATCCATGCCTGTTTCAACAGGTTGTGGGACGAGAAGGAGTTCCAACGTCACTTCCCGACGCGGATTGAGTTCAACATGATCGCTACTACAATGATGACGGTCTACAACGAAACGGCCAAATCCGCTGGACTCCTGGCCAGGATGTTCAGGGTCAAACCCAATAAAGATGCCTATTCCGTCATGAAGATGCGGATTCAGCATGACAAGGGGTTTGAGGAGGACAAGCGTATGGCTAAATTGGCTGCGGCTGCCGCACCAAATAAGCGCCCGCAGGTGCAGGAGGCAGACACAGAGGGCAAACGCCAACGCGATGCCCCCTCGTCTTCCTCCTCGAGCCAATGGGCTAGACCGGCACGCCCATCTCAGGAGGATGATTGGGACTGGTGGCAACAGTGGTCCTGGCACGGATACTATCAGTCTTCACAGCAGTGGCCACAAGGTCACAAACAGTGAATTTAGGACAATGTCACAGACTCCTCATATCCCGTATGGCACAGCCTCTGGGAATTCGGTGCTCTTCCGACGCTTTTGCAAATCTCTTCGGAAGCTGTAGTGCAGAGCGTTAACCACGGCAAAATACAGGACTCTGCACTCCGTCTGAGCTGATCAGGCCAGTCAGCTGTCACAGTTTGACTCAATCAGCTTTGCAGGTACGCACATGTGATCCTTACGACCTTCTGTCTCCAGCATGAGTAATCCGTGTGGGACGCCACGAGACGGATACTCAAGGTGTCGGCTTCGCCCGAAGTACGGCCTACTTGCTGTGACAGGTGCACAGATGGACGCGTCTGTTCACATCAAGGTGTCGGAGGAGGAAGCCATAGTCGAATTTTAGTCAACTGAGTAGACTGAGTAGTTTGAGAGGTTTGAGCGATGAATGCTAGCAGCAGTCTCACGAGTGCATGGGACCAATAGCGCCCGCAAAGCGCAGAGCACGCTCGCGCAGCGTTCAATTGAAATAGTAGTAGTAGTAGTAGTAGTAGTAGTAGTAGTAGTAGTAGTAGTAGTAGTAGTAGTAGTAGTAGTAGTAGAAGTAGTAGTAGTAGTAGCAGCAGCAGCAGCAGGAGTAGTAGTAGTGGTAGTAGTAGTAGTAGTAGCAAAAGTAGGAGAAGTAGTAGCGAGAGTCAACCCTGCTGTGATCTTGGGCAAATACCGGGCCCTGCCCTACATCTAGAGAGCTGTGTTTGACGCCGTGCCCTTTTTGCCACTGCCTTTCTAGGTGCATTGTCGGGATCTATGGCAACTTCTCGCAGGTCTCCTATGTGGAGGCCTACGTTTCTTGGGCCTCGGGGTCCGCTCGATGGCGAAGGAGTAAGACTGTTTGCTGGGATTGGGCTTCGTCTTTTCGCACGGCTGCGAGTTTTGGATGCTTCAGGGAATATGTGTGTTAAGTTATATAGTGTTTCAGGACTTGGCGGGATTTCAGGATGCACTTTTCCGACATTTAGCCTAAATTTGGGGTCGAGGGTGCAGGGTGTACGGCAAAGCCTTTTCGGCCAGTGCTTCCGGGCACACGGTTTAGGGTCTTGGATTTCGGGTGTTGGATTAGGGTTGATTTGGGTATATGGGTTTAGGGGTCACTTGCAAGTCCTTGCATCCTAGAGCCCGGCACGTTCCAACTGCCGATCTGTGAGGTCATGGGCACCAGAACTGGAGTGGGTGTGTACTTCGCGAGCCCCACCTCCCACAGCAATGCCGTATGGGAGACCGACATGTGAAGTTTAAGATTCAGGGCCCTAAACTCTGTCGGATTTTTTGGATGCACGTTGAGCCTCGAACTTGGGGATCCAGCAGCGAGCCTTCTGGGGTTCCTTCGGCCCTGGGTTCTTTTGCCAGCTCCTGCCGGTAGCTTTTTCAGCGGTGCAGGACTTTGGGTGATGAGGTCTGGGAGTCTAGGGATAGAGCATCCGTGCCTTGGGGTTTTGGGTGCAGGAATTCGCCCTGAGAGTTTAGGGTGAGCTGCTTTGGAGTTCGGGAAGTTCTTGTTTGAGGATGCAGGGCAGTGAGGTGCAGCTACAGTGAGAGTTGCATGGTGATATAGGGGTGGTCGGGGTTTGACTGGCGCTGTCAAAATGGCTCCTCTTGCTGCTAGGTTTGCTTTCTTAGCTTTGCGTCAATCAGCCCTCAAGCCAGCCATGCTTCGTAGTGTCGTGGTAAGGTAGCAGGTCCAGAACCCGAAGCCCAACCTCCAAAACCCCAATCCCTAGACCCAAAGCTGCAAGCCGAAACCCCGCCTAAACCCGACATGCATGTCACAACCCCACAACGCCCCCCAAGACTCCAAGCCACACGACCTGTTCCCGTAGGAGATGTCTGTTCGCGGCGTCTTTTACGGAGTCGCGTTTGCTGCCGGGCTGAGTGCGAGGCCAGCAACCCAAGACATTTTAGAATCTGGATCTTGAGTCCTGATCCGTAAGGCCCTAAATCCTAAACTCGCCAACCCGAACCCTGAACCCCTAAACCCGGAACCCCTGTTCAAAATCTGGTCCATCTGCTGTGACATGGGGTGCGTGGACTGGTTGCCACCACCACCTAAATCCCAAAAGCTTGAAAACCGGGAGGCAAGTAAACCTGTTCGAGCACAGCCTCATCGAGGATGTTCTCTGCGATGCCGTGTCCTTTGCCGGTTATGGCGAGGTCGGGGCATCAGGTTCACTGTGACGCCAACTAGCACGGTCTTCTCTTATCTTGCATCCGTCCTTGCACAAGAATGCACTAGACAGGTCGACAGCCACAAAGCGTTCTCTTCGGCGAACCAGACCAAATTCTCAACTCTAAACTCTACACCTCAAACTCTTGATGTATTTGTGGCAGAGACCCGAAGCCTTTTGAGGTTTCCGTGTTAAGTGGCTTTTGGACCAAAGAATCGGTTTGGGCTTTGCTTGGTTATGGGCTTTGCAGGTCTTGTTGCAAAGGGTTCAACAGCCTGGGCTTCAGGATTTTGGTCGGTTTGGGCCTTCGGATCCCAACACCCTATACTACGAAGAGGTCCGCAAAACGATGATCCGACGAGTCGGCTCTGCCTGTGCCGCCACTGTGGCCCCGGGGGAGGCGCCGGCAGGAGCAGGCCGACAGTTTGGGTCTTGGCGTTTGGGTTGTGGCGTTTCGGGTGTGGACTCTTCGGCTAAGGGGTGTTGCAATGTCGGTTCAGGGTTTCGCAATCATGACCATTTTAATTGTGTAATCCTCTTAAACCTTTCAGCGTTGCATACCCCTCTAGAAGGTCCGGCACGTTAGGGTGCTGCGTCTTCAGGTTCGAAGCCCTTGTTGCAAAGTCATGTCTTATACGGTGAAGTGTCGACAGGGTACGGGCATGTCTTGCATTCAGGGCTCATGGCTTGACGGTTTGAATCTATTTCTTCGGAAAGAAGTTCTGGTGTTGGGGTGTAGGGGGATGAGCTGTGAAAGGCGGGTTTACGGAAACCCGAGTGATCACCCCAGGCCTGCAAACCACCTGAAGTCAACTGTGCATCCAAGGTCAACACATTATTACGGTATGCCCTTCAAAGATCTTCCGACTTGCGGCCCGTGCGTCTTAATACGCCACTTCTAAAACACACATCCTGTTTGCTTTCGGGGTTTATTCAGGGTTTGGCGTTCAGGCATGGTGCTGGCGAGGGGGCTGTTAAAGCCTAATCTTTCGAAGACGTTACATGGGCAACTCTGATGCACAATGGAAGTTCGGGTGTGAAGTGTAAGAGGTCATCCCAACATCCCCAGAACGGAGGATTGTCAGATAAACACCCTGTGAGGACTTTGCAAAGACATGTGCACCTCCACGGAAACACATTTTAGTCCCTGCCGCCCGGAAGTAACATTGACTTGGAGTTTCAGTGCTGCCTTACATCTGAAGCCCTCCAGTATGGCAGACTCTTGTCCGAAGCTCTTGTTCCGCTGCCGTGAAGGCTTTTTCTGCCGTGGCAGCTGGGATGGCGCGCTCATCCACTCCAACCAGGCCCGGTTTGGCGTTCAGTGTTTTAGGCGATAGGGTTTATAGGGTTTAGGTAATCGTTGACGGGTCATAACCTCTCCACTTGTCGAAAGGCGCAGGCTCCTGAACCCAAATGCGAGACCCGACATCTTAAGCCCAAGAGGTAGACTTCCTGGACCTTACAGCCTAAAGGCCCGCTGCCGGACCTTTAAGCTTAGGTCAGGTGTTTGTGGAAGCCCAGCACCCTAGATCGGGTACAAATGTTGCTTAATTGTCTGAGTCGGGATTGTCAATGGTTTCAATTTTTGCGACGACTGTTTCGACAGTTGTTTAAACAATTGCGGTGGCACTTTTCTCTAGTTACGTACGGTTTCTCTACTCTGATACCTGGGTTTCTCCACTTGAAACTCTGCGTTTTCTGCTTTATTTGGTGCTTCATCCATTTTAACGTCTGGTTTCGCTACTCTAGCTGTTTTTCTGTCAGAATCATCAGATGCTGTATCAATTGTTTTGACAACCAAGCACTTGTCGCAACAATGGCCCCGACGCCGGTGTGCAGCAGTTTAACACCGGGGGTTTCTAAAACCCACCTACTTTAAACCTCAACAACAAGCCCAAGGTGGTAGACACTTGTGGCATGTCCCTGGACGTCGACACCTGCGCTCATCTGGATATCTTCAACAACACTTTCTCTGGACCAGGCGGGACTTGCAAGTACCTTCCGGTTGAGGGTTTGAGCTGTAGGGCTTGGGAGTACAGTTCACATATGGTTGAAGTTCGCATTAAAGTTTAGGGTTGGCTGGGTGGGTTCTTCGGGACCTACAAGTTCTGCGTAAAGCCCGAAGCCTCCGAAACTCTAATTGCACCGAAGCAAAAGAAGCCACGCCACCGAACCCACCTTTGAAACACCGAGCAGGGGTGCTAGCCCCTAGCCCGAAAGATCCCAGCTCTGAAACACTCGGCAACGAGTGCTACAGTTGTCATAAGGAGCCCCAAACCAAACCCCAAACCCTAGGCTACGACTGGGAAGGGAACTTCACCCACTGCTGGGGCGCAGTGACTGCTGTCTTACTGGACTCGCAGATGGTGTCCGCGGCCTGGCGACTGAAAAGATGCTGCATGCCTCTGCGTGAGGATCCGACAGGTTTCGGGTTCCCTTCCATTCGGAAGGTTCAGCTTCATGCAGTGCCGTTATATGCTGAACACTCTGCCACCCAACCCTGCATTCGGATTGAGCTCCAGGTGTTTGGAGCATGACGATAATGCTAATGACAGCATCCCCCTTGATGGGCTCCCTGACGCCCTTCACCCCGAAGCCAGATTCATAAAGCTGAAGCATGCGAATCCCTGATTCCTAAAGCCTTCTTAGCCTCACACATAAGCTACACGCCCGCAAAATTGACATCCTACCGCACAACTTTACACCTCAGGCCCATGATTTTTCCCCTGGCCCTACGAGCTTCGAGGTGTCGAAGAACCTCATCAGCAACCTTCGCGAGTCCAACCGTCTTCTCGGCGGCAGTGGGGTGAGTGGTCGAGGCTTCGGGAAACTGAATCGAAGGCTACAGGAACTGTGATGAAAGCTTCTCACGGCTTCTTGCTTCTGATGATGGTGACGACTGTGATGGCTTGTCTGTCTGTTGTCATCGTGACTGTCTCCTGTGCCACTGCTCTTGTTGTTACACGTGCTCTTTTTGATATTGCTGTTGTATTGATTGGTGTTGTGGTCATGTTGCTCTTCTGCATACCTGCTCCCGTGATTGCAAGCGGTGAATGCGTGAGTGGTTTCATGTTTATCTCCTTGTAGTTACAGTTGTTGCTGTATGTGTCATGCTTACGGTTAATTACTGATTTGTTCATATACTATACTTCTGCGATGACTTCTAATACTTTTAGGGCTGTAGCCTGCTTGCAGCTGAGACCAAATTCGAAGCCCCGAGCCCTTTCCCCTGAACCGCCCACTCCCCAAGGCCGCAGAGCTCAGAGCCACTGAAGCCGCAAAGCCCAGGGCTTGCAATGTCCGATGGCGATGTCCATCAGGTCTTTAGCTCCTTGGATTCCAAAGCTTCGCCTCTGATGAGTACTAGCTGTTATGGCTTGTAACAGAGCAATAGTAATAGTCACCTATATACTAATCATGAGCAGATTCATTTCTTAAGCTCCACCTTCTGGGACTCCTCAATCCAAAGCCCCGGGCCTTGGCACCGCTTTGGATCTGGGGTTTAGGGTTGCGCCTTCCGGCTGAGGGTTTCTGCAAGATTCTGCGGTCATCATGAGTTGTTAGGATTTTGGGCCCCCAATCCTTTGAACTTCAGGAGCCGCAGCTTCAGTGCCCAGGTCCCACTGCTCTGCCCCGGGTAAAGCCCTTGAGCTCTATTTCCCAAAGAACACTGTTCTAGTCGCCAAGGCCCCTATGTTCAAGGGCTCGGATCCTCTGATGTCGAGGTGAGGTCGATGCCGTTCCCTTCTCGGATCTTCCGAACGGCACGGACACGGTACTGGCTTTCGCGCTGCTCCATCGGCCACATGCCGGGGCGCGGACGGGCCAATCTGCTTCGGGCTTCAGCTTTGTTTCCATGGGACTGGTTTGGGGTTCAGGCTTCAGGGTTTGTGGTATCTAAAGAAACCCCTGGGTTTCGGTTTATTGCTGTAAACCCTGCAGTGTAAAGCCCAAGCCATTACAGTACACCCGCTCACACAAATCCTAGGTCCCATCCTATACTATCCCAAACTTGTAATTGGCACCAAATCTCGATGCTCCTTGAACGTTTGAACAACGATGTCCACATGCTCAACCGAGGCTCAAGACTTACATGGATTTTGGCTCGTCGGTCCTACCTGACTCCAGTGTTTAGAGTTTCGGGCTTGGAGGGGTTCAAAGCTCGGGGCTCACGGAACTTGTGTTCACACTTCCTAAACTTTGAACCTCTGTCCGGAAAGGCCTGGCCCTCCATCAACAACCAGATCTCCAACAACTCCTTCACATGCCGCTGCCCTGGAGAGGCCAGTAAGGTAAATGGGGTGGCTAACTAACTTAGTCAGGGTTGGGGTCCTGGAATCCCAAGAAAACAACCCCACTATTGAAGTTCCTCGCATGCTCCCTTCCAAATAGATGGTTCACAGGTTAGGAAAACCCAGACATTGCAGCCTCCTTGCAATCCTTCAACGGCCTACACCTGACAGAGGGCCTTCAGTTCGTTTGCTGTGCTCTGAATCCCCGTCCTAAACCCCAATGCGAACCCGATCCCTCAGCCTGATTTGAGCGAAAACGCTTCAAAGCGTCCGAGACCGCCAACACCTTTTCCAAAACTCGTGACGCCTGGCGCCTGGCACGTCCAATCTCAAAACTCTCCAGAAGCCTGGGCTGAAGAGGGCTCCAGGGCCGCTCGGTTGGAGGGTCAGAAATCCCCGGCCCGCAACCCTAAAGTTCCACAAGGCCCCGAAATCCAAAACGCCCAGTACACCCCCCCACAGCCCTTGCACCGGGCCCTGACAGAATGCCACCTGCGCTGGGCTGGCCTACTTCACCGGGCGCGGTACCGGTCTGGAGGCTTGTCATCGGGATTGTTATTCTTGTTGTCGTGTCACCGTACGACAGTATTGACACTGTCTTGATTGTTCCAAGTATTCGGTTTCAATGCTTTCACTAGCAGGCCCTTTCGACTCATGGTTTCGGAGCTTGAGGCTCATCAAACTTAGGAAATTTAGGGATTGCTTGTATCATCTTGTATACTGTCTCTGTGGATACGGTTTGGGGTTGAGGCTTGAGAGTTTTGAAGCCTCGTTGTGGTCGTGGTGGCGGTGGTAGTGGTGGTGGTGGTGGTGGTGGTGGTGGTGGTTTTGTTGTTGTTGTTGTTGTCTCGAGGCCTGAGAATCGAGGTCGCTTTTGGGGTCTAGCCCGTAAGTTTTATTATGGAGTTGTGGTTTAGCTCGGGCAGTCTGTCGTGATAATCAAGATTCTGCTAGCTAGCATTTATATGCTTGAAGTTCTTGTGAACCCTGAACATCCCGAGCTCAAAGCCTTGTATTCTTAATCACAGATTCTGATAACTGAATCCAAATCCTTTAACCCTCCTACCGCATTTTGTTTCGCCTGCCGCTGTCGCACTTTGGGGTTACTCGTCTATACGGTTCTGAAGTACGAAGCAGATCGGGGATGCCTTGGTCCACATGCGAAGTACCTGAACTAAAGCCTGAGCAACCCACACCTTGAACCCTGAGGCATAGACCCGCAGACCCCGCTCGAAACCGCAGCTTCAAGCCTTTGCAGGGGCTGCGCCTCCCGGGCCATTCCTGGGGCGAAAGGAGGCCGACGCAGCCATCGCACTTTACTGGGACTCTCGGCCCTTGCAGTGTTTTGGTCTTGAGGATTAAGGGTTCTGTCTTTCGTTCTGGAGTTTAATTTCAATTTGGGACTCTGGTTTCGCTTTCGTGGTTCAGGGTAAGAGTATTCCAGATATGCTAAATATCCCATGCTGCAGTGGAAGCAAGTGAGACACGCGCTCTGAAGGCTTAAAGGAGTGAATGTCTTGGTGGGCCCCAGCGGTCAGCTTCGGATCCCAATTGCTGCAGGGTTTATCCCCTGCTTTCTGTCACCACTGCCCGTGGGGCCTCGTGGTGCTTGGGCTTCTGCTGTCCTGCTGCGCTGGGGTCTTCTTAGGGGCCTGCGGGGCTAGCTTGATCCTTTCGCCATTGCTTCGCCGAGCCGCGGCCGCTGCTCTGCGCATTCTGGTGGCAGGTCCTGCCGAGTATAGGCCTCCCTCATTGGCCGAAACCAGGCGTCGCCTGGCCCTCTACTCCGGCCGGCGCCCGGTGGATGAGTGATCCGGCTGCTGTGGACGAACTAGTTCTGCGGCTGGGGGAACTGACCATCACGGTCAGTCGGAGCGCGAGGGAATCCGAGGACAGAGAGGTCAGGGCTCCCAGTGCTCCCGCGCCTGCTGAGCTTCAGGGACTTACCGAGGACGAGATTCTTGCTGCGGGGACCGCTGCTGAACTAGTCCGCCTTCACCTTCCCGCGCTTCGCCCGTTAGCTGATCAGCTGAGGGGTGCGACCGGGGAGTGGTCTCCACAAGCTCGGGTGGCCCGAGCTTATCGAGCCGGGGTTTCGGCAGCCTTTATCCTTCGAGGGGAAGTGAGACGAGCCGTTCGATCTCCACCAGTGCCTTATCGGAATTCCATCTACGTGGTGTTACAGTGCGCCCTCTACGAGGACGGGTTCTGGACAACGAGTTTCTCCACTTTCAGGCGCTACACCCAGGACGCCCGGGACTCGTTCAATCAGGATTCAGTGTGCCACGCCTTTGCCAGCCGTGCCGAAGCCAACTCTTATCTCCTTGGAGCTGAGAGGGAATGGCCTCGACACCTGTGAGGCGACCAAGCACCAAAGCAGAAGTAGAAGGGTTGGCTTCTGTTTTGGGACCATCACGACCCTTACCTCCTCTGCACTTCATGCTCGAAGCTGCCGAGGGAGTGAACAGGATTGCTCAGGGTTATCTGCTCCGTTTGCGACCCGGAGGTTTCCTTGTGGCTCTGCCCAACGCGGACTCAGTGCTTTTGGGCCTTCGGGCCTTGCTCAGCGACGAAGGGGAGGGCTTGGTCCTGGATCACATCGCCGAGGTGGAGTTGGAAACCAGCAGAGGGCGGCTGTTAGGCGATTGCGAGGTTTTGCTGGTGGATGTACCATGGGAAGCAGTGGGGTCTTTTACAAAGGCCCACCCACTCCGAAGGGCCATGTCCTTGGAGATCAGACTGATTCCTTTCGAGACCGCGGGATCTACAGGTCGTCCCCGGACTGCCAGCGCTTTGGCTGCGGCCGAGGCTTGGATCTCGGAGACCATGGAGGCCGAGACCGCTGCAGAGTATACCACCGCCGAGGAACCGCTCGAGGAGGCGGAGGAGCCGGCGGACGAGGACGGCGTCCCCGCGACCGACCGGGATCTGGTGGCTGCGCTTATGGATCGACTGCAACGACTGGAATCCAGAATTACGCCTCAGGCACCAGTTGCTGCCGCCCAAGCACCGACGACGACCGGGTCGGCTTTGCTTCGGCCCTCGACCGGTGGACTGGACCCTTCAGCTCTGGAACGCCTTCAAGCTCTGGCAGGACCCGCTCCTCGACGGGGGGCCCGGAGGGTCTACCGCCAAAGCGCCCCCACCTTCTCGCAATCTTCGGCTGGGGGACACTCTACATCGAGAGGCCGAGTTGGAGGCGCTAGCTGCCCCCGAGCAGGCAGACCCCTTTGTGGACGTAGGGGCCCAAGATCCTCTGCATCAGATCCTGACAGCCCAGTTGGCACAAAACCAGCTGCTGTTGGAGAGGCTCGCGCCGACGAAGCCGTTGGATGCAGTGGCTGCCGCTCTTCACGGAGGAGGCTCGGGCAGCGCCTCCGACAGCAGCGGCGGCATCAAAGGCTGCCTAGCGAGGGATGCGTTCCTCAAGCAGATCGAGGACCTTCCGAGGGTTGCCGAGGTGGTCCGACAGAATGCGCTGAAGGAACTGGGCATCGAAGCGAGGCGCGAGGAACCCAACCTGCTCAAGCAGTACATGGAGAGAAGGCTGCCTTTGGCGGGCCATCGTCTCTTGAGTTATGTGGCCGCTTTTGCGGGGGAGGGCTGGGAGACGGGAGCTCGCTCCCAGAATCCGGAGTTACAGGGCTACGCTGCCAGATTGATGATCTTCTGCGAGCAGGCCGCCTTGGACTCCGTCTTCAGCTAGCTTGGCTTCTGGCCGGGTATGCGGAGCCGAGTACGAGCTCAACGGCTCGCCGATCGACTCTGAAGCCCTTTTCGGCCTTGGGCCATCCATCGTGGATAGCTGGGAACGTAGCATTCCTACGCGACCTGGATTACATCGAGACTCGCATGACAGCCCTGAGCAAGCCTCGAGGGGCCGACAAAACCGAGAAGGACGACAACGCTGACGAGAGCGCCGCACCCGGAGGATGGAAGAGGCGCCGCCCGAAAGCCAAGGCCACTCCTGCAAGCCCGGGGTGAGAGAGCATGTAGGTAGCAAGTCAGGGCCCAAGGTTCCGCGTGAGCGTCCCGCAAGTGGTGCTCGTTCTGATCCTTTGGCTCTGCTTGAGCTTCCTGCCTCGACCGATGGCAACATGCTTGATCCCCTGGAATTAGTTTTAGGTGCCCTTAACCTCTGCAGTTCGGGGTTTTCTGGTTTGAGTTATTTTATTCGTGCTTCCCTTAGGGAACCCGCCTGCACTGTGCAAGCTGCTGCATTCAGTAGCTCGTTATGGCCGATCCCGCCTCCTAGGTGCTGTTGGTCGAGTCAGGGACGTAGCCGCAAAGCTAGGCGCCGGCGCCGCTACTTTAAGTGCCGCGCCCGTCTGTTGCAAGTGGTGGTGTGCTGTTTGAACTGGGAGACCCTAGGTCATCACCGTACCCCGCCGCCCTCCTGTTGCATCGGAGCTCCGATTAGTGCAAACCAGCATCAAGTCCTGGATCATCTCGAGAGCTTAGTCGATCGCCACTTGAGTTGCGGCTCTTTTGCAGCAGAGGCGCTTGGCCGGTGCGCTCCAAAGTTTCTTGCATTGCTGAGGGTTGCAAGGGAACTGCCTCGGAACGAGGATGTGGACCCCATCCTTAGGGAATTAGGTGCCTGTATTAGATCGGGTTTAGATTATGGAGGCGCCGGGGCTCCGGCCAACGACAGATCCTCTGCACTTTCCTGCACCACGAATCCGATCTCTGAGGAGAGTTGCTTCGACTCAGGGATAGAGCTGGGACCTCCAGATGCGTCTCAGGATCCGCCATGCAATGCCTCAGCTGATCACGCCAGGCCTTTCTACAGTGATAGATCCTGTTTGCTTTCGCAGCCCGAGCGCACTGGTGCCCAGCCGACACCGCCTAGTGGCCGTGTGAGTCTCGCGTCGAGACCCGCCTCTTTAGATCCTTGTTCTGCCCAGGCTTCCTCGTCTGCTGCCTTGGGGCATACTGCTCCGCTCAGCACGTTGGAAACGTTAAGGATCCGAGCCTCTAGGATAAAGTGGAAACATCGTCCTGAGTTCAACCCGCTCCCCTTCATCAGTAATCGCACCCTACGCGCGGCATACTTGGAGCCCGAACTGTTGCGTCGGCCGGAGGCTGACTGGGTCGTGGAGCGACCCGCAATGTTACACGCTGATAGGTCTGAACTGTTAGCGCTGGCACGCATCTGGGATGAATACGGAGCCCTAAAAATCTTCGGTGCTTCCGAGCTGGAGGGTCTAGACCCCTCCGAAGAAGTAGGGTTGTTCGCGATTCAGAAAAACAGCGAGTGGGATAGGATGATCCTTAATCCTACGGTGATTAACTCCCGCATGTACTCGATTAGTGAAGCTTCCAAGCGCCTCAGCCCCGGATGGTTACTTAGTGGGTTGCATCTCGAGCCTGAGCAATTCCTTAGGTTCCATGCTGCCGACTTGTCCGATTTCTATCATTCGTTCTCCGTGGGGCCTCGGAGGGCGCTTCGCAATCGATTCCGGGCTCGCTTCAGTGCTTTCGAGTTGTCGTCATTTCCTTCATACACTCCGGAGCTGCGAGAGCCCCTGGCGATGGGTTTAAACACCCTCGCCATGGGTGACTCATTGGCAGTAGAGGTGGCTCAGGCCTCGCATGAGGGGCTACTACAACAACTTTGCGGAAGCATGCTTGAGCACGAAGTCCTTAAGTACCGATCCCCTATTCCTCGTTCGAACCACATCGAAGCTTTAGCGATCGACGATCACATCAACTTCCAGAAGCTCCCGAAGAATTCCCTTAAGCACTCGACCGAAGCTCGCGACTCTCAAATCTTCGGTTTGGCCTCCGGTGGTTATGGCGAGGTAGGGTTGCATCAAAACCATGATAAGGATAAGGTCGCTTGTACTTCAGGTGTTGTCTTGGGTGCAGAGATCGATGGGTTGCTGGGGGTTGTTTCGGCTCCTCGCGATAGGGTTCATTGCCTTAGCTTCCTTTCTGCCCTTGTGGCCAACCGGGGAACGGCTTCTAGGGAGCTCTTGGAGTCATTGATCGGGAGCTGGACCCACGTGCTTCTCTTTCGTCGGCCGCTCTTTTGCATCATGGGGTCTTTGTACCACGAGGGAAAAGGGCTTCCCAAGACTAAAGTGTTTAAGCTAAGCCCCCAATCCAAGAATGAGCTCTTCCTGCTCTCGTTTTTAGGTTGCCTCAGCCAGGCTAGCCTTCGCGCCCCTTATCATCCCGAACTCTTCTGTCTAGATGCAAGCCCTTCAGGGGGAGCCGTGTGTTCTACGAGGATTGGGGCTTTCGCCGCTTCCGAGCTGTGGCGCCGTTCCGAGCAGCGAGGTTACTACACGAAGTTGGCCGCGCCAGCTTCGGCTGTTTTGCTCGAGCACGGGCTGGAACACGAGGGTGAGTGTGCTTTTGGTCCTGATGACCCCTGCAGTTCACTTGCGCCCCAACAGCCCCGAGGATTCCCGTTGCATCCTTGTCTTAGCGAAGGGTTTATTTACGATTTCTTCGAACTAGGCCCTGACTGCCGGTGGAGTCCTACTTTCGCTAAACTTGGTTTGAATGTGCATCCAGGGCTTAAGGTTGAGGGACGGGTCGCACAATGCTCGGATGTCGCCAATGCGAGCTTTGCCCGGGAGCTCGTTGCGCTGGCCCTGCGGGGCGTAGTCCGTGAGTGGCACGTCCGCGTGCCCTGCGTGAGCTTTGGCACCCCTAGGAGGCCCAGGTTCAGATCTCGAAGTCACCCTGCTGGTTGTGGAGGTTGCGACGCCTTCACTGACAGGCACACCCGGATGGCTCGAAGGATTGCTTACATCCTCATGGTTGCTCTTCTTCGTGGTCAACTGGTCTCTGTTGAGCAACCTGCAGGCTCGAGTCTGTTTTTCCTGGAGTGTTACAAGCAGCTGGCTGTCGCGGGGTGCGTGCTTACCAGTTTCTGTTTCTGCAGCTTTGGGAGTCCATGGCAGCGTCGTTCCACGTGGCTGCACAACAAGGCTTGGATTCTGCCTTTGTCTGGTGGTTGCAACTGTCACTGGAAGGGCAACCATTTGCCTTCTAAGGCGTGTGTGTTCGACACGGGCTTCCGCGAGCTTTTTCTGTCAAGGTGCTCCCCAAGCTGCCAGAAAGTTTTCGGCAGCACTCCTGAGCTGGGGCAGGCCGTTAGCCAGTTTTCGGACGCGGCACCGCAGCCTTTGGCACGCAGGCTAGCTGCAGGCTCTTTAGCTTGCAGACACGGGGCCTCTCGTCACATCAGCCATCTGCAGCGGAATGCAACCGCTCGATTTCTTGGGTCTACCTGAGCCGTTTGCCTTTGCTGGTCTCAGTGACACTGAACCGCACCATCGGCGGGAGTGGCACGAGGATCCAGAGTGGATCAGCGAGATTTGTCAAAGCCTCCGCTTTCGAGAGCTGTTTCGATACCGCTTCGTTCGGCCTGGGCACATCAATGTCAACGAGGCTCGTGTGCTGAAGTCCTGGCTGAAGGCTCTGGCGAAGGGACCACCAAACGTTCGGGTCGCTGCTCTCTTGGACAGCCGTGTCACGATTGGTGCCGCGGCCAAAGGCAGATCCAGTAGTCTTGCCATCTGTAGGGTTTTGCGAGGTTGTTTGGGTTACGTTTTAGGTTCCGGGATTTACCCAGGGTTGCTCCATTGTTACTCCGGTGACAACCGAGCCGATGAACCCTCACGTGATAAACCCGTGCTCCTCCCAAGCCTCGATCCACCCAACTGGCTGTCGACGCTGCTCGCAGGTGACGCCCGGCAGTTTGACGCCGTTGCCGAGAGCTGTAGGATCAAGAAGATCCCTGCGAGGTGGCTGCGTTTTTTGCTCTTGCTTGGAGGGGACATCGAACGGAACCCCGGTCCTGTCCAAAGTCGCCCAAGGATCCATCGAGGAGCTTTAGACACCGAGGCAGGCTTCGCTTCTAGCACTGTGCATAAGATGAGAAAGGCACTCGACGCCTTTGAAGCCTGGCTGGACAAAGAGGCAGGCCTGTCTCTCGAGAGTGTCCTCTTGGACAACGGCGCGACAGAGCTTGCCCTCAGGGGGTTCGGCCTGCATCTTTATGCGGAGGGCTTTCCTCGCTATCTGTTGGTGTATGCCATAACAGCAGTGCAGAACCGGTGTCCTTCCTTTCGCAGCAGCCTGACGGCAGCTTGGCAAGTAGACAAGAAGTGGCAGCTGGTCGAGCCTGGAGAGTGCCGAGCTGTCCTTCCTGCAGCTGCCGTGAGAGCTGCTTTGTGCTTGGGCTCCCTTTGGGGTTGGTTTAGTTGGGTTGGTTTAGTTCTGCTGGGCTTTCTGGCTATGTTGCATCCAGCGGAGATGCTCAGCCTTACTCGAAGAGACTTGGTGTTCCCCCGGGACAACTTGGGACATGTTTCTTCGTTGTTTGTTTTCCTTAAGAACCCTAAAACCTCCCGCTTTGCCCGCCGACAACATGGAAAAATCGATGATCCTACAGCTATCGCCTACATCGAGAAGGTCTTTGGTGCCCTGGACCTCGAAGATCGTCTGTTCCCGGCCTCTATGCACGTCTTTCGCAAGCTTTGGGATGCAGTTATGCAGAAGTTGGGCATCCCTTGCAGAGCTGCTCTCCGCGGGGCCACTCCTGGCGTGCTTAGAGGCTCGGGCGCGACGTACTTCTACCAGCAGACGGAAAACGTCCCTCTTCTAGCCTGGCGTGGTCGTTGGGCCAGGCAGAAAACCTTGGAGTACTATCTCCAAGAAGTGGCGGCGCAGATGCTGTTGGGCGAGCTTCCTCCGGCTTCCCGCGCTCGCATTCTCCTCCTTGATGAGCATTGTGATGCCGTGTTGCATTCCTTGCCGCCTACCCGGAGCTGAGCCTTGGAATGGGCTGTAGTTACCAGCTTGAGCTTTGGAAGCTCCGGCCGGTGCAAGCTTGTTCTACTCGCTCGAAGAGCGAACCTTCTTTCGGCCAGCAGGCCTCGATCGGCCGACAGCCCTGGGAGACCTTGTCCACGCAGGCGAAAACGGAGGCCGAGGGATGCTAAATATCCCATGCTGCAGTGGAAGCAAGTGAGACACGCGCTCTGAAGGCTTAAAGGAGCCCGCCCACCCGCCCGAATGGGCTGTAGTTAGCAGCTTGAGCTTTGGAAGCTCCGGCCGGTGCAAGCTTGTTCTACTCGCTCGAAGAGCGAACCTTCTTTCGGCCAGCAGGCCTCGATCGGCCGACAGCCCTGGGAGACCTTGTCCACGCAGGCGAAAACGGAGGCCGAGGGATGCTAAATATCCCATGCTGCAGTGGAAGCAAGTGAGACACGCGCTCTGAAGGCTTAAAGGAGCCCGCCCACCCGCCCGAATGGGCTGTAGTTACCAGCTTGAGCTTTGGAAGCTCCGGCCGGTGCAAGCTTGTTCTACTCGCTCGAAGAGCGAACCTTCTTTCGGCCAGCAGGCCTCGATCGGCCGACAGCCCTGGGAGACCTTGTCCACGCAGGCGAAAACGGAGGCCGAGGGATGATGTTTAGGCTTTGGGACTTAAGGCAGTAGAAGGGTCTGCAGACTTTAACTTCAATCGCGAGTTTTCACCGTCTTGGTCTTCCTTCGGGCCATGCCGGGATTGGAGGGAACCCGGTGAGGCCTGGCAGCCGCTCTCGGCTTTCAACAGACTGTATGGCCCGTGTTTTCGGGTTTCCGGTTTAAGGGTTCTAAGTCCTTCCAGGGTTGAGGGTTGTTCTTTTGGTGCTTTCAGCCGGTGATGCGCTTCCAGAGTTCCTGGCGAGTGCTGTCTTTCCACTGGCTTAGCATTCATTGCAGCCAATCTTCGTAAATTTAGATTCTGAATTTGTGGCCCAAGCCGAGCAAAATGTGCGACGCACGCAGCATACCGGCGCGTTCTGTGCACTCCAAAACAGTGCCAGTCTCGGAAAGGTCACACAGATCACGGCTTTTTTCCTTGTATGGTTCTTCCCGGCAGCATTTTGTGCCGGGTGGCCGGGCAAGCCTGGAGGCTCCGGGCAGTTTCGGGTTTGAGGGCCCTGACTGAGCTTTAAGTCGAAAATCCTGAAATCTAGACCCCGAACGCTTTGACCTCAAACCCAAACCTTACACCGCGAACCTCGACACCTGAATCCTTACTAAGTACCCTGATGATCCTATCTAGTTCCCATGAGTACCCTTACAGAGATCGCCCGAGGAACCTCGAGGATGGAGACCTCGGTTCCGTGAGATGTGGCAAGAGCCTTGTCCAACCTGGGCGGTAGCTTCAGTAAAGAAGCGATTGTGCGGTAGAGTTATGCTCTATGGGATTTTCAGAAGGGGTTCGGAGCATCAAGGGGCTTGTTTTTGGGGTGTCGACTCCCTTCGGTTGAAGGCTTGGGATCGAGGTTTGGGATACCGAAACCAATGATTGCTTGCACGGGTTTGCAGAGTTTCTACGGTAGGGTGTGTGGAGGTCACTGGATTGCTATGCTGTCGTTGGCTTAAGGTCGATGTTTGCCACGACTATGTAAGGCTGTTAGTATGTGATTATCATTATAATTACGGGTGCTGACAATCGCAGTGTCAGGATCCTCGCATGCCATTACGTGTTACCTTTGATTGCATGTCATTGTTTCCCCCGACTACTGCGATCTGCAAGTACTATAGTTAATCTAATTAGGTTTCATGATTGTGATGATGCAGGTCATGATTCTGGTCATGGTTCTCACCACCAGGGTCACCACCACCACAACCACCATCATCAGTGTTTTTCCTGCAGATTTACGATGCTATCGTTGTTCAAGGTATCTGGTTGTATCAAGGTATTAGCGGTCCGAGTCTGTCCTGCGGGGTCATAGCTTCGAGGCTTGCCGGGATCTGGCCGAAGCCCGAAACCCCAGACTCGGAGACCTGGATGGTAGACCCACAGCCTTACAACCCCATGCCCGGAGTCCTGAGCCTAAACCTTGAGGCTCCAATTGCTTTGCGAGGCTGAGGGTGAACGCTTTGTATTTCTCGCCGAAGACACTTGTGAGTCAAGGCATCGTGCTTCGGAACAACCACAGTTTGGGGCTTAGAGGTTGTGAGGGGTTTTTGCCATTGCCTGAGGGTTTCAAACCTAGACGTTTCAGTGCTAGGACAGGAATACATGTCGAGTTCGAAGCCTGAATTGGAGCCTAGGTTGGAGTGCCACTAAATTTCTCAGGCACCATTTCCGTTTGAGGGGATTTGGAGCAAAATCTTCGAGTCTCAACTTCACTCGGCCCCAAAAAAGCAAGCCCAGCATCCATAACTTCGAGCCAGAACCCTACGCATCCCAGCCACTTTAATTCGAATTCACAACCCAAAAAATCCCAGAACCTTCAGTCCAAAACGCTGTCCGAGCAAGGAACTCCTACGCAGAGGCGGAGCCAGTCTGCCGCATAGACTCGGACTTCCCTTGCAATGCGGACGACTACGAACACCCCGAGGCGCACAAACTTCGTGTAATACAGGGCCCTTTGCTGTACTGTTGTCATCTATGTCTCCACCCAATCCGGCTTGTGTTCGCGGCACAAGCAGCCAAACACACTCAGACCGTCCATGGCGGTCTGTTCTTCAGCTCCTGCGATCTTACTTTGTCGAGTTCTTTGTGGAGAATCCCGTACCAATTCGATCCAATCCCAAAAACCGGGGCTATTGCTCAGTTCGGGGCTTCAGGGTTTAGACTTTGCGGCCCCCCCTATGATGCAGGACAACTTCCGGAACAGCCTCGCCTGTGTTGATGCTTGGCCGCAACTTCCCAAGGATATATATATATATATATATATATATATATATATATAGAGCCCCAAAGTCACGGCTCGAAACCCCAAAGCCTGATTAGGGAACCCAGAATCAAGAGCCGAAGCTCGTTTTTGGGGTATATCATGCAGGATTCAAAAGCCTCGAAATCTGGGTTCAAGATGTTTGGGTCTCGGGAAAGCGATGCGATACTTGTCAGGGTTCGGTAGTCTGTTTCTGAGGGTAGTTTGGGTTGTGCACTTCAGGTTGTTGGGTCGTTGGTTCAGGGGATGTGGGCAATGAGGTGGGGTGGTGCTGTGTCGATCTTGCAAGATTGCAAGAACCCCAATGCACACGGCGAGCTTTATGCAGCACCTGCTTGTATGGATATCGCTCTCTCACATGCTTCAGCCCACGTATGCCAGAAGTCTTCACCCAGAAATCTTCAACCCCGTGCCCAACGTCTGGAGCTGTGCAATTCCCAAATCTTGTCCGTCAGCCCTCCTACAGCTTGAACTGCGAACGTGAGCCCTGCATCTACAGAGGACTACTCGGACGTGATCCACGAGCGCCTTGTGGATGAAAGCTCCGGTAGATTGCGGCAACCGCTCCCCAATGTCAGCCCACACAGGACCCCCGGGGACATGTAGTCCGCCAGCCGGAGAAAAGTGTGAGGCTTTGTGAAGTTAGTGTGCATTCCGTGGCATTCTGATGGCCATAACAACTTCAAGGCTACATAGAGGGCGACGCAGTTGTCTGATCGCTCGGAGGTAAGTCTGTTGCGGATGGAATGATGCAGCATAGAAGCTCAGATCATCCTAGGCACTTACTTCTTGGACCCCGAATGGAGACAGGTGCTTTGCCATTATGCGCGGTTTTATAGTGAATTCTGCTCACATGCTCTTTTGTTTCGTTTCTCTCAGGGAGGGGTCGGGGTGCTACACCCGGGACCTAAATGGCCAAGCAGCCCTAAACCGCATGAAAGTTTCGCACCCCGGACCTCTAATCGCTAAGCCCCGAAGCCTGAAATCGAATCTTTCAAGACTCGAGACAGCACATTCGTTCCAACCTCCCAAGACCTCGAATTCGTAAGAGTGGGGCCTGAGAGCACTCGAGACTTTCTCACGAGGGTTTGTGTTCTGTTATCACGATGATTACTACTGTCACCTTTGTTGACGTAGATCTTTGTTGGGTGTTTTTGTTGGGTGCTTTTCTTCGGGGCTTGAAACTGGGGTTGAGGGTTCAGAGTGTAGGTTGTAGGTTGGAGGCTTTAGGGGACCGGTCTCAAATCTCTTGGCTTTGGGGTGCCGTCGTTTCGTAGGCTTGAAACTACGTTTACTATGTCGTGACATGTGACTTTAATGTACCGCGCGGCCATTTTGGCTTAAGTGCTGTTTTCTGTTGTGTTCTGTTGCTGCTGTTGCCCCTTGTTGGACTGGTGCTGGTCATGTCGGTCCAACCTCTGCGGACTCTGGTTCGCCGGCTGAGGGCTGCGGCTGCAGCAGACGATGCCCTGTTGGGTGCAGCCTTGGCTGCCATGCCTGACGCTGAGGCACTTCGCCTCTACTACCACCTTCGTGATCATGTACAGCAAGCCCACGTTGACTACGAGACTGAGGGTTCGAGTGAATACGATCTGCCCTCTTGTCCCGCTGCTGGCAGTCTGCACTTGCCGTCTCAGGATCGCAACACCGACCTGCTGGGGCTGTCACCTGACTTGGTGGACTTGAACTTTGAGCCGCCGGTTGCTCCTGATCAGCCCGTCTCTGCTGTTCCTGCGACTGCTGGCTCGGCTTCTGAGGCTGCCTCGTCTGTGGCCGCTTCTGGTGCTGCCACGGCTGGTGCCGGCATCACCTCTGTTGCTCCTGATTTTGCTGGTGCAACTTCTGAGGTTTCTGGGGCTGTCGCCGAGTCTGGTGGCGGCTCTGACACTGGCGCTGGCACTGAGGTCTATGACGGTGGCTCTGGCCTGGTGGTGCCGTCTGTGGATGATTCCGCTGCCTCGTCTCCTGAGCTGATCCCTGCCACACCTGAGGTTGGTGGCCCCTCTGGTGATGGTGGAGCTCCTGATGTGACTGTGGCTGGCCCTGCTGACGGTGCTGCAGAATCTGAGGCTGATTCCTCTCGCACAAGCAGCCAGGCTGATGACGCTGTGCCCTGGGACTGGCCGGCCACTTCCGTTCTTGACAGCATGGATGGCCTGGACGTTATCAATGAGCCCACGGCACCTGTCGAGCCTGCTGTGCCTGAGGACTCTTCGGTGGTTGATCCACCCCTGGCTGCTGTGGCTGGGCCCCCGGGGCTGCCGCCTGGGGCACCGGCCATTGCTACGCCGACTGTGGCCACTCCGCCACCGTCGTTTCCTTTGGCTGCCCCGGCCTCATCGACTGCTGATCCGTGGGCTGGGTATCAGGGTCTCACTGTGAACTCTGCTCCTGCGTGCGCGCGGGGCGACCACTGGACCCGCGGCTCTGTCTCCCTTTACGATACCCTCTGCGTGACCTTCCTGCTGATTTGCAGCGTCACGGTCACAGTTTGACAGGGTGGTGCGGTACAGCATGCTGGGGCCAATGCGACCACGCTTGCAGCCGCCCAGTGTCAGACTCGGCGCGCCGGCCGCATAGGCGCCACTTTTGCGACAGATGTCGCAACCTCTGAGATTTCTGCTGACTGTCTGCTGTCTGAAAGGGCTGGTGCATTTAGAGCCTGAGTGTTCGCAGCTGCTGCCTGGGCACTGGCCCTTTGTACGTTTCTCTGCAGCTTGCTGGCTCTGTGTTTCTGCCTGGGGGCTGGGGCTTGGCTGCCTGGGCCTTGAGGCTGGGCTCCTTGCTTCCTTCGTTCTCTTGTGAGACGCGCCTGCACCCTGGCTGGGCAGGTAGTTCTGCTTTGGGCTTGGGACCCAGCGGCTTGTGCCCCTTCATCGCTCTCTGCTGTGTGTGCTGAGGCTTTGTGGGCCTTGTCGCTGCTTGGTGGCTAGCCCTCACCTCGAGGTGGGGCATGCACTTGCGTGCGGTTCTGAAGTTCGGCGTGGCAGGTTGCTGGGCTTGTGCCTGCAGCCGCTCTGGCCGCTGCCTCAGGCTTGTGCCCTGTTTGCTGTGGGTACTTTGCACTTTCAGGCCTGCTTCTTGTACCAGGCTGGGAAGGGGGCTTGCGCTCTCCCTGTTTGCCTCCTTGGTTGTCTGCTTGCGCAGGCTTCCTGCTCTGTGGACCTCGCTGTCCGAGGCCGGTCTTGCCATGCCTGGCCCGCTCGACTTGTGTCCTGACAGGCTGCTGGCGCTGGTGCTTCCCTCTGTGAGTCTGCCTGGTCTGGCTTTGCACCTGTGCCTTTGTGATGGCGAGTGTGGCGGACAGTGCGGTCACGTTCGCTAGCAAAGCTAAGCAATACGGGCTGAGCCAGGGTGTGTTAGACAGTCTGTCTGCCTCTGGTATCACGACGTACTCTGCTCTGCTTTTTGCCGTGGCGAGTGCACCAGGAGCCGTGGATGAAGCCAGGTTAAAGGCGGCCAAGGATAAGCATCTGGGCGCTGGTGCCTCTGAAGGCGCTGTTGCCGCTTTTTCCCGACTCCTCTTTGAAGCCGGGACCTTCGTGGTCGCCGAGCTCCGGAGTTCGGTGGCCGGCGAGGACGATGGCTCCAAGAAATTGACCTCACAAGAACGTGCCAGTCGCATGGATGCCCTGCGCTCCAAACTCGGAGCGTGGCCCATCACTGGCTCCTTCGAGCCGAGCCGTGTTTTGATCGATGCCGCTTTCGGGATGGTTGCTGATAGTTCTGTGCGGTACTTGCCGCCTAGCAAGTGCAGTTCTCGTGAGCAGGAAATTCTTTCAGAACGGCGTGACGACACGTTGTTTCGTTTTGAGGCCACTGCTCTGCGAGCTGCCAAGAAGCCTGTTCTGCCCAAGGTTGACCTTGGGAACGAACTGCGGCTGTATCAGGCACTGAGCCGCCGCGGTGTTGCACTGGAGGTTGCTGGTGTCTGTTCTTTTGCTGTGCACGAAAACTATGTTCGTGGTCTGTTGGACCACCTCCAGCGCATGCCCCCTGCTGGGTATTCTGCCCCTGGCATTGACTCTGTGCTGGCTGCTGATCGTGCTGTCTGGCAGCATGTTGCCGCTCAGGTACCTTGCCTGCCTTCTGTTGACGTGACCACTAAGGTCGATGCTGCCTTGCTTGCTGCTGCCGCGGCCCCTGCTGTTGCTTTCCACGTCATGCCTCGTGAGAAGAAGCGGGCACTGGATGATGCCAAGTTGCCACCCGGCAAGACCGGCAAGGGTGACGGTGGCAAGGACAATCGTCCTGGCAAAGGCAAGGATAAAGGGGGCAGAGGCAAGGGAGGCAAAACCCCCACAGGTGGCAAGACTGGGTCCCCTTCTAAGCAGACTGCTGTCCCTGCTGCACTGAAGGGTCTGGATCCCAACAAGGACGGCACTCCATTGTGTTTTGATCGCAATCTGGCCCATGGTTGCAAGCGCGAGACCTGGCAGACTCCCGCCGGGTTGCAGTGTGAGAAGGGCTTGCACTTGTGCATGAAGTGTGGTAGCCCGGACCACGGAGCGCATGCATGCAGCAACTGATCCTCTGCCTCTGAGGCTGTGGCGCTTTGTGCTGCTGAGGTGGCTGCTTCCTCTGTGGATTGTCTCCCTGAGGATCAGTTCACTGATGCTGTTTCGGTGGTGCCTTTGCCCACGCCTCAGTCTGCTGAGTTCATTGCTACTGTGCCGGAAGCCGCCTGCTCTGCGGCAACTTTTTCTGATGGGTCTGCGTCTGCAGCGAGTTCTCCACCTGAGGTGCATTTTTCCGATGCTGTTCCTGTGCCACCTGCTGCTGAGGTGAGCTCGGGCGTTGTACCTCCTTTTTCCAGTACCAAGGTTTTTTCGAATTTCTTGCCGGGGCCTGCGACCCCTGCTTGTCCTGATGCTGGCACGGGTCGTGCCTGTGTTGCCGTTGAGATCTTTGCTGGCTCCTGCCGACTCAGCAAATGCTTGAAGGCATCTGGGTTCGAGACTGTTGCTGTTGATGTGAAGGACGCTGCAGGACATAAGGTACTCAAGCTTGATTTGCTCTCCGCGGCTGGTCTAGCTGTGCTGTGGGACATTCTGAGCTCTGGTCAGGTCTTGTATGTGCACATGGCACCCCCCTGCAGCACTGCTTCTGCCGCGCGTTTCATCCCAGGTGGCCCTCGTCCACTTCGCAATGCTGCAAACCCTGACGGACTCCCTGGCTTGAGCTTTGCCCAGAGGTTTCAAGTGCACAACGCAAACCGCTTGTATTCCCTGTGCCGAGATGTTGCGTTGTTTTGCCAGAGCCGGCGCATCGGCTGGAGCATTGAGAATCCGGGTTCTAGCATGTTGTGGCTCACATCTCCCATGCTGGCTCTTTGCAAACAGCTTGGCAGCGAGTTGAAAACCGTTGTTTTTGACCATTGCTGCTGGGGGGGCGAGAGACCCAAGAGAACTGCTCTGTGGAGCAACTTGTCCTGCCTCTCTTCGCTGGGTTCACTTTGCTCTCCTGATTTGGGACATGTGCATAAGCCCTGGGGCAGACTTCCTGATGGCACCTGGAGCACCAAGGTTGAGGCGGCATATCCCATGCCGCTGTGCCGTTTCTGGGCACATCTGCTGCAATGCCATTGGGCTACTGAGTTAGCTGCG